CATCAAGTCTTGCCTCATTCAAAACTGAACTTAAAACTTATCTCTTCAAATTAGCATATTCTTTGTAAATAATTTTATTTTGTCGTTGTCTTTGTCGTTTGTTTACTAGCGCTTAGAACAGATTTGTATTTGCGCTTTATAAATAAATATTATTATTATTATTATTATTATTATTATTATTATGCTAGATAGCTTGTTCCCGAGGGACCGGCTTTCGAGCAAATCAGAACATCAGTCAACAAGCTTCTATTCTTGTGACGATCATGATCTTTATTGTTGAATAGCTTGTTTTTCTTTTCGTTTAGCCCAAACAAACGAGGGACCGTCGCAGCCGCAGCAGCAACAGCAGCGACAGAGCATGGACGTGCCAAATATGAAGGTTTGTAGTGATAAATAAGATAGGGTCCACTAAGGTCACGATTCGTACATTTTGTTAGCTGTTAAAAACATGTTCGCAAGTAATTACCTGGTTACGAGAACTTTGACTTCATTCTTTAATATTATCGACAAGAATTTGGTTTTTGTCTTCCATATTTTGGATTATTTGCTTTAGTTTGAGGTAGTGATGTGAAATATCAAGGAAATTGCGCTGTGAATAAACGAGTGTCATGCAACGCTCTATCGTTCGTCAATCATGAACACTTGGTTATGATCAAATGTGTGTTGTGTTCAAAGATGTTTTTGCAAAAATAATATAATTAATAAAAGAATGAATGTCATTAGTAATATAAGGATAGAATATTTATGTAGTGAAATATTTCTCATCAGACAAGTAAGCCTCAGCCTAATCGACCAATAGCTCCAGCAGCAGCATCAAATGTAATGCCCATTGGACCGCCGTTAAATACAGGATACATGCATATGCCTGCATTTGGTTACCCCCAAATGATGAACCCCCATATGATTGGAAGACCAATGCAACTGCAGGCACCTCAGCAATATTCGCATGTACCATTTGGGGCTTCTAGTGCAGCTATTAGTGCTAGTGCTCACCCAAAAGGCATAAGTCCAAGTCTCCGAGGAGCCTCATTACCAACTGCAGCAAAGTTATCAGGAATGACATCACATCTTCAAGGACAGACTTTAACACTTCAGTCCAAAACACACCCAGCAGTTAGTACACCAACTACATTGTCTCGGCCATCATCACCAGCAATGCCTATTCCATCCACCAGTTCTGTTCCTTCTTTCCAACAACAGAGCACAGAGCATAAACCAGTTGAGGTGAGGTCTCCAATGATGCCAGACCACCCAAGACGGACTTCCTCCCCTCACTGTCCATCATCAACAGTACAAAATTCCAGTGCGGTCATAACAAGTGTAAAGACCACCCTTCATACACCTTCAGTACCCTCTCATAAACCAGGACAACCCATTATGCTGCCCCACTTTGTTCAAGACCACAGCTCTCTTACAGCATCTAGCTACCCACCACCGGCAGTATCTAGCAGTATGCAACCAGGTGGTAATGGAACAGTAGTTAGTATGGCTATTAGTCAGCATTTACCTAAACCTATCCAGTCAGTGTCTGTTACAATGGCACCCACTATGGATAAGATGTACGCTTCACATATGAGTATGATTCCTGGTCGACCTGGAATACCACAGCCTGAAGCAATAGCTGTAAGTAAAACCTAAAGTAAAATAAAAGTTGCTTTAAAATAAAATACACATAGCAGTATTGCACTTGCCTCTCACCTCTGGGTTCTCTGGTTCGATTCATGGACTCAGCATCACCATACCCAGACAGAAGCAGGAAATGTGCCTAAATGATGATGATGATTCAAATGTTTTTGAGATTTTCTTTCTTTGCAAAACCGAACAACCTTAATTCTATTTTTTTCTGTGAGCTAATCATGCACAGACTTTCATCAGTGCAGAGGTAATTTATGTAGAATTCATAAAATTTGACCTTTATCTAATTATTATCTAATCCTCTTATTGAAGTCTCCAGATATTTCCAGGCTAAGCGGTAAGCAGAGTGGCCCAGCATCCCCTGTAACTGTTCCACAGCACAGTGTTGTGAGTACAGTGCCATCTTCAGCACATGTCATTGCTGCAAGTGCTGCTATGCAACCATCTAGTGAGTGTCATAGCTTGTAAGACTGCATTGATATATTTTAAAAAGTTTTACAGGAATTGAAGTTAAAAAATGGCATGTCTGTTATAGACAAAATTAATAATGCAAACTAAAATATCAAAATTTGCTAAAATTGCTCTGTTGGCTGAGTGGTAGTATTCTTGTAAGAACATTTAATGCAGAACTAAAATCTGCTTTGATCTTTAGATGAACTATCTTTCATCTCCTATGCTTCTAGTGAAATAGCCTCAACATGTAGTTTTTTTATTACTGCAATCTTATTTCTTGTCGTCATAATACCTAATCATAAAGTTTTATTATTTCGCAGCTGTTATGGATGCAAGAATGGAAAGGTATTAGCTGAATATTACTTAAACTTTAATGTAATATCCTTGCAGTAAAAAATATCATAAATGCAATGAATTAACCTTAAAAGAAAAAGAATTTAAGAATGATCCACATAGATGTCATAGCCCTTGAAAGCCATGTTAGATACTACGGGATATCAGCAAACTGCCAGACAGACAAAAAACATGCCATGGTCACACATCCAAACATCTACGATTCTGCACACAAACATCAAACTTTTAGTCTTGCATTCCTTCCTTCACGTGTCGGCATCCGTTGATGATTTTCTTTCCCATCAATTATCGAAAGGATACCACATGGAGAATGGAATGAAGACTAAAGGTTTGGTGATTGTGTGTGGAATCGTAAACATTTGGAGGCAGAACTAGATATGTTTTTTGTCTCAATTCGGAAGTTCGCTGATAACCGTAGCAAATCATTTATTAATTTTGCTTGTTAAATGAAATTATTGTATTATATTGTGCCATCCCCCCTCCCCCCTCAGAGAGTAATGTTATTCCCATCTACCCCCAGTCAGAACTCTGGTCTATGGTCCTCGATATTAATAAATTATAAATTCCATTTTAAAATGTTTTTGACAGGCCTCATCCAAGTGTGACAATCACCAACACAATGTTAACAAACCAGATGGGGATGTACCCCAGATATGTTTTCCCTGAAACAACAGGTAATTGCAGTAGCCCAGCACCTTTTCTTTATTACTGCTGACTTTTTGTGTCATTTACCATGAAATAACACAGGACCCAGATGAAAAACACTACACTGCGCAGATGCAAATTATATTATTTGTTCTCTTCTTCAGTTTGCTCTTTGGTAGCACAGGCATTTAATCAGGATGATAAATATCTTTTATTGTTATAGGATTCCCATTTTCTCATTCTGGATTTCCCCCACCCATCATCAGACCATTGCACACAGCAACTACCCCTGTGTCATCAGGAATGCACATCCTTGATCCCCAGGGGTACATGGCCGTAGCTAATAATGCTCTCAGAAGTAAGTACTATTTAATTTCTATTATTTGGTTTACCTGTGGTATCAACTAACTCTGAAATGATGCTTTAGCTTCTGTAGCAATGATGGACAGCACTGGAGGCCAAAGTATTTACGGCATGCCTGTTCCAATGCAACAACCGTCTAACTTACAGATGCCAATCTCTTCAAGTAACCCTAATGCTACTTCTCCACGTCCTAGTATCCTGCGAAAGAGGCCATCTGAAGGGTAAGTGGGGGGTGGGGTTACCTGCAGTGAACAAAACAAACATCCCCTTCATAAATACCGTACCAGCAGACAAGCCTCTGTTTGCTCTCCCAAGTGTGAGCAGGACAGACTTCTCCTTTAGTTGGACATGACAGAAAAAGGGGTTCTACTTTCGACGTTTATGCGTTAATAAGCTTTATATTTCATAAACAGGCTCTTTTGGGGCTGATTAACAAAATGCCAAAATTTGGGGAAATTTAAGGAATGCGTGTTTGAGATATAATGCCCTGAATGTTGGGAGAGATGATATTTTGATCAGCACAAAAACTAATATTTTCGCTAATACCTTGAAGTAGAATTGCTCGAGGTTAGCAGAATTTAGTGAAAAGTTTAAAGCACAAGAGACACGAATGAAACACTAAACGTTTTCTAGCATGAAGGAGAGTTAAAGAAAAAAATTGCGAAAGTAGCAGCCTTGTCGCTTTTCTGCTCTGTCCTTTAGTGGTGCTTTTGACCTCAGTTTAAGATTTTAAATAAATGTGTCCCAGTTTGCAATTAGCTATAGAATCTAAAGTAAGGTGGTCAATTTAATATTATGAATGCCGCGTTTAATAGTATCAGGAAACCAGCAGTTGTTCCATATAATGATGGCACCTCAGCCACACCAAGTGACCCAAATGTCAGCCCAAGATCAGACAGTACCCTCTCAGCACCTCAGTCAGGACAGAGCTCTCCCAAACCACCAAGGTATGTGGTACATAATCTAATATAATTCAGCTACAGTGGTGATGTTAGTGAAATCCTGGTATTTATTTGTATTTCTCCATTTTTTCTTCTTTAATTTCAGTGATTCTGGGTCTCAACCAAGCGAACCACCACAACAACAACAACAACCACCCGTAGTGATGCCCATCCCCACAACATCAAAAGTAGAGCCGCCCGTGACTGTACAAAATGTTCCTGAGCCTCCAGTGCAGATAAAGAAAGAGCAGAATGAAATAGCTGACGTAACAACAACAGGTACCACCGTAACATCCAGTATGGCTGTTGCGACAACCAGTAGCAGTACTGCTGAGAAACCTGCAGCTGTGTCCGTAGCTTTACCTGATGGGGCTTCACCAAGGAAAAAGCCGAGAAAACAGAATGTGTAAGTGAGCCATATACTGTAATACTCAGTAGTACAATAGTGTTTTTAGTCTTTATTATTATTATCATCATCATAATCATTTGAGGGCCGCACGTTAGAAATAATCATCATCAACATTATCATAACCATTATCATTATCATGTCCATTGTTAATGTCATCACACCAAACCATACCATCATCAATTACAATCATCGTCATTGAAATACTTGCTATTATCTTTTTCTAGTCATCTTTATCGACATTATTTATAAAAGTAAATACCTTTGATTCATTTCTCCTAAACAGTGTGGTGACAGAGGACAAATATGGCAGTAGCGTTCCATTAGAAGAAGGGTCATCTGATGAAGAAGAGAAAAAACCAAAACCGCAACCAGAAGATACAGTCATGGGTATGTCACAAACAAAAATGGTCTGGTGCTTTACTAATAAATACACAACTCCCCATTGGGGTTAGGAAGTCCAGCTAGGGTGTCCCTTTAGCCGGGTGATTGTAGGCCACCTCCTCGCAACAAGACATAAAATCAAAACTCGCCATTAAATCAAATAAATAAATAAATTTGGTTTATTCAACTTATGAATTTCTGGTCCTCTTTTAACATTTCTAGTAAATTAGGGGACATGGTGACCTGAGCCTCTGTAACCAGATGTAATTACAAAGGCAGCACCTCAACCCTAGTTATTTTAAGACCCTGAGTGTTAGTCTGGCTGAGACTTGATAATTTTATTCGGGGCTTGTTTTGTTTTCAGACGATGACTTAAAGTTCATTCTCCTTAAGCGTCCCAAGATCTCAATATATGGTGGCTACAAAGTCAACACTAAAGCAGCTCACAATCACTTCCTTAGGTATTCTGACATCAAAATCAAAGGTAATCATCAAAACAAATGTTTTTAAACTCTCTTCTGTCAATCAAATAAATCGTTTGGCACATTTACATACTTTGATTGACGGCAGTGTATTGTATTTTCCTGTCACAACTGTTGTCTTGAGCAGTGCATAGCAATGAAAACAGTGGTAACGCTTTTGTTCATTGTTTCTCTGTAGAAGAACGAAAGCCCACCTTACAAGACATAGCCAACCAGAAGAACATCCTTCATCGTGTTAGTGGCTGGCGGATACACCATGTGGCCGCACAGATGGATGATCTAAACTCAATAGAACAAGAAGTCCTTTCAAAGCTCTTTGAATTCCGCGAAAACCTGCCCAAGCCGAGACCAGGACAGAAATCAAAGTACCATGATGAACTTGTAATGCTGGATGAACTTGTTCAGGTATGTAAGCTAGAATTACAGTTATTTGTCTTGGGGATAATAAGTGGATAACGAGAAGTGGGAAGGAAGGATGGGTGGAAGGATGGATGGGAATAAGAATAAATAAATGACTGGGTAGGATTGAATAGGTTGGAGAAAGAATGAACATCAAATAAATGGATAGATTGTAATGATTGTTGCTGTAGTCAAGGATTCAGCTCAGTCTTGTGCAATAGTATTATCCTTATTCTATCAACAAATTTGATTTATGTGAACTATATTGTATTTTACAGGGTAACATTCAGCGATCCCAGCTAGTTACCGAACAGCTTGCTGACATAAGAAAAGTAATGGTCAAGGTGAGGCCTTATCATATCTGTAAACTAGTAGAACAACTACAGCTAATAATAATAGTAGTGTGTTTGATTGTTGGTGGGGTGAGGTTTATGTGTGATTGTGGGTGAGGTGAGGTGAGGGGGGTCATTTGAACATACCCCACCTCAATGGAAGCCTCGAACCCAAATATAAATAAAAACAGTTGTAGTTTCTGAAAAAATAAGTAAGCAATATTGTAAGCATTCTTCATAGAATAGTCATTGTGCCTCAATTAAAACGCATTACTTTTTCTAGGCATTAGATCATCGGCCGCGGTGTGTGGAGGTACTACAGAAATACATAAACAAAAGAAATCCCAAGAAAAAGAGTTGAGAAGACTCTGTGTTAGTCAGTGATACAAGATGTAAATATATACTAAATCGAAGTGTCCTTATGTACACCTCGAGCTAAGGAACGTAGTTCACCTTCAATCAAAGAGAAACCAATTACCAATCAGTAGTCATGTGTTAGAGTAATAGAAGACAAAGCAACACAAAACTCAGTCATCAACTTTCACCATAGCTCGTGTTTAGACAAGCAAGCAACACCTTTCTGATGTGTGTTGATTAAAAAAATATATAATAACTGGTTTTGGCGTCTTTTTATTGTAAGAAATACCACATTATAATAATGCGTAGTTCCAGAAATTATCCATACACCAAAGGAAGAATCTTTTTCAGACCCCCACCCCCCTACCCCTGGAAATTCCAATTTTCTTCCAGACAAACTCTGTAATTTTGCTCTTTCTCTTACCCACCACCCCTCAGAATTTCAATAACATCCAAACGAACTTCATGATTTTGAGGCTGAATAACTGGATGGTGACGAATTCTAATTTTTGTTCACTAATAATAAACTAATAAACATTAATAAAGTAAGATAAATGCTTTTAAAGGGAAAACATGAAAATTTGTTTAGGTGGCTTACTGTAAAACTATTTTTTTTGTTTGCAGAAGACTTGAAATAAGTTCTAAACATTTCTGAGGGAAATCCAAAATAGGAATTCAAAATATTGGTCACAAAGTAAAAGGGTCCATGATGATAGTAAGAGCGTAAAATAATCGAATAATCAAAGTAACCTTTAACCAAGGTAATTCCTGATATTCGACTGGGATATTCCTGGTATATTACTTCAGCCGCATATTGAATAAGATAGCATGCTGTTCTTTGGATTTGACTTTTGATTCATGCTTTTTTGTTTGGCGTGACTTGCTGTTTTGGACACGGTGTGTTGTCATCATTTACTCGGTTTCCAGGGAAACAAGGTGCGCAGTGTGATCGCCGAGTTGGAGATGATAACAACATGCCCTCTTGCTCTTCTTCCTTGGATTCCTGGAAAATCAAAAAGAAAAAATCGAATGCTTGTTGACCAGGAAATCAAAAATTTTATGAGAGTTAAGGTTCAACTAGGCCCAGACTCTGACTGGAACTTCTTGGCACAAGGCAGCACATAACAACAAAATTGTGACGTTTGTCATCCTCTGCATTTGTTGTGCACATTGTTGTAGTATTAGAATCGAGATCTCACTCCTGCGACATTGTGCGCGAATTTCATCTGCATCGTCGCTGGCAATAGGCACCAATTTTCCAGCACCAGCTGAAAACGAAAAGGAATGACCGCCCTAACTTTATCAAACCTTTGGAGTAATACTAAGTTTTACCTCATTTTGTAACAAGGGAACGTAGTCATGGTGATCATGTTTCCTTTCTCGAGTGATCAAACTGTTTTTCCAGGTAAAAGCCATGGGTGAGGGTGGAACATCGCCATTTTTGAATTTCAGTAGTCGTAATAATCTTTTTCTGAAAACAAATCCGTGAAAATATTGTTTAAGGTGATGTTAAATGAGATGATTTTTTCCCCAAACATTATCGCGTTTAAAATTCGCTTCATACAACATGGCGACACAAATCGATTGCAACAATGTTGTGAGTTTTGAAGGTCGTTCAGTCCAAAAATCTGCAACATGTTGGCGCAACAAAATATCGTTAAAAATCGTAACCGTGCGTCATGTCACACGAGAACGACGTCGTTGCTAATCGTCTCGTGTAACACCACCTCAAAAACCTACTGTTCGATTCTTGATAGCATTTTTATATCAAGGTTAAAACGCTAGGCCTGCGGCCCTCGGCCTTGAATTTCAATGCAAATCCGCGTACGTACGTTTTAACTGGTTTAAAAAACAACCAAGCCCTATTTTTAATGTTTGATGGAGGGTTTGAATTTCAATGGAAAACCTGTCCCGCTCTCCCCTGTTAGTAACAATGCTGAATTCAAAACCCGGGACAGGTTTTCCAACGAAATTCAAACCCGACATCAAACAATAGAAATAGGGCGTGGTTGGTTTTTAATCTAATTTCAAATGCATGACTCACTTCAATAGCGAAGCGCCCTTCATTAGAAGCAGACCGACTATACACACGCCTATTTCACACGCGAACACGTGATAAAGCGATAAGTTGACGTAGTAGAGTAGAAAGAAGAAGCTCGGCGCTGCGAACCAAACCTGATGGAAGAAAATGGGAATCGACAGTGAAGATGTTGAATAGAGTAGTCTGAGAATCTGGTTTTTATTAGTAAACTACACACATGGTATGAATGGCTGTGACTTGTATTCTCTGCGAAACAACCTCTGGGCTGATATAGGTCAGGGCACGGCTAACTCATAGATTGAACCCTGAAACAACCTCTGGGCTGATCTAAGTCAGGGCACGGTTAACTCATAGATCGAACCCTGGAGCAACCTCTGGGCTGATCCAAGTCAGGGCATGGCTAACTCAGTCACAGATCCAACCCTGAAACAAACCCTGAGCTGATCTAAGTCAAAGCACTGCCAACTCACTGATCTAACCCTGAAACAATCCTGCTAAATCAATTCAGGGCATGGCTCACTCACAGATCAAACCTGAAACAACCTCTGGGCTGATCTAGGCTTTGCTGTGGGAGGAAAATCGGAGAACCCAGAGAAAAACACTTGAAACAGCAAGAGCTCTAACAAGCTATATTCACACTTGATGCTTAGCCCAGTAATTGAACCCCCAGAGGTGAGAGGCTAGCGTACTACCGCTACACCACCCTTGATTAACTATTCGGTTATAGTTACTCGGTTGTACTATCTGTGGAACGTCTTACCAGCCATTCAGTAACACTGTAGAAGGCATCAGCATGGTAATGATAGCTCTCTCGTTGAAACCTTAACATCACTATGGTAACAATGAAGGAGACGAAGATGAAACTGTATACACCGACCATGAACCGGTCAGCGAGTGTAAGATCCTATGAAGACACAGAGAAATGAAGACAAACACTGTATTGAGATTTTTTCACCCCCTCACTGAATGCCGGAATGAAAATAGAATAAATCAGAATAAAAATCGAATGAAACAACGTTCTTTTCAGTATTCGATTTTAACCTTTAGTATTTGTGTTTTTCTTTATACTATGCAATATTAACCTGGAGTATTCGTTTTTTCACTTGTCTATTCAATATTAACCTGCCTCGTGAAACAGTCTTTTGATAATGTCAATAATAATAAATCAATAGATAATCATTTAATAATCTTATCATTCTTCAGTGTAACACGTACCGGTGTGTCTGGGGTCTGTTCGTTAGTTGTTGCATGGAACATGACCGCGGACACTAACAGGGACCTACAAAAACGACAAACATATCGTGTCAACTAGTTTCTACATCCTTAGATACAACAACAAGCTATGGCAAACTTAAGAATCATGCGCATGCGTAGGAAGCTTGTGTTTCCTTACCCATCAATCCACAGCCTCATGGAAGCATCTTTAGGAGGAATGGAGAACGAAAAACAAATCTGGAAAGGAAAAAAAACACCGATTATTATTCCGTATCCATGATTCGTTTAGTGAGTGAAAAGGTTGTTTTTCAAAAGATGGCAAAGTTTTTTACGACTTACGAAATTTTGAAAATACATTCATTCAGTTGTTATTTCGATAGGTCTTCCCATCGGGAACGCTATTTTTATACATACCACGACGACAATGAATAACGGAGGAAGGAAGATTTTGAAGAATGCTGCTCGCTTATGTCTTCTCATGTGAAATAGAAATTCGTATCGAGACACTCCTTGGTCAAGAAAGGGGTTATACCTAGGATAGAACACAAATATATTTTTTATTTGGCACTTTATACTCTAAAAAGTGGCGATCCAATCTTAATTCGTTTGATTTTGGTTTCTCTTGTCAGCATGAATTGATAAATGTATGCTGACACAGTTTTTTTTGTAGGAACACTGTTTTGGGATTGATCAGAAATAGGAAACAGTTATCAGTGTTCATTTCATTAAGATGTTTTTTTAGAATCAGATCACTACTCACCTTTCATAGACAAGCTGAGACCAGGAATTGGTGTCAAATAACCAGCCAGTGTAGTTTAACGTCGGTGAAACACCACTTCGAAACTTAAAATCAGTAACACCGGAACCCTGTGGAATCAAGTAGCCACGATAAGTCATTATCATTAGTAAGCCTAGTATAATGTGTTGAATCTGAATGAACACAAACCTCCATTAATTTCCATCTGAGTTCTTTGGCAGTCATCTCCATGTCTTGAATGACAATCCTTAGCGTCTGGTTGTCATAGCTACAATAAAGATATATCAATAGACGTCATTTCCGGTATGGTATTGAGATGAGAAATGGTATAATGAGATTCTTTCAGCTGATAGGTAACAAGGAGTAAAACTGTCTCAAATGTCTTAAAGAGTAAAATTTACTTCCGGTTTCATTTTCCGACAGCATTTCATTAGCCAATCAGAAAACAGTAGCCGCTAGGCTAGGTTATCTCGAAGGCTTGGTTTTTCGGCGGAGACCAAAAGAAATACGGGCTCATGCAAGGGACGCGAAAGTCAACGTGCAGTCCACTTTATGGTTGTATAGCAAAAAAATACGCCTTTTCCCATAGAAGCCAAGCATTAAGATTTAGGCACCGTAATTGAAAGATTATTGAAGAACTTGGATAATATTTTCAAGCAGAAAAAGTTGCGAGAATTCCCATAATATACGTACGGATAGTTTTGTAAATCAGCAGCAAAATTGAAAGCAGATTTCACTCGAAAGTACTTTCCTTCATGACTAGATACCTGGGAAATAGACACAAAATAATAGTGCTTTTAGCAAGTAATAAAAAATTTGGTTGGGTGGGTGTGGCGGGGGGGGGGGGGGGGGTAGCGAAGGGGTTGGTCTGCTTAGGTTGATGCTTTATCATACTGTTAAATCTATGTTTCCTGATTTTCTTCATTTTCTTCCGATATACTAGTCAAGGACAATGGTAGTGTAGCTGTTAAAGGGGTAGTGTGTTGTAACCTCAGCCCTTGTTTTCAGTTAACCGATGTAGCCCCCCTCCCTATATTTACCTCGGCTTGTCCAGCTGCGTTGACAACTTCAAAGCACGTGTTCTTCTGCCCATCTTTACATTTCTGTTTAGTGTAGGTGGTTTGACCAGGAGGGACTAGTGAGACACGGTAAGCAACACTGATCAAATACACATCGACATTCAAATAGTTTCTTCAAGTACGAATGAAACATGCAATAGAGTGCACACCATATATCCGTGAAAAAGTTAACTAACAAAATTGTACGACTTAGTGCGAAGTTTTGTAGGTCTACAGTCTACTGAGGGCTTCTCGGAACTTTAATAATTTGTGCAAACTTGTGCAATGTCTGACAAAGTTTTTCATGGATTTATGGTATGCACTTTACAAATGATTTTAAAAGTTTGTTAACAGTGCACTAGAAAACCACGAAACTTGACTCGTAAGAAACACAAACCTTTAAAGTAGAGGTAGAAATCCGCGTGGAAAGTGCCAGCCTTTAGATCCACCGAGTGCAGATTCATTAAATACAACGCTATTTCGACATATACAGTTTTTTGCTCACTGACAATTTCGGGGCATTTTTCATAGTAATACCTGAAAAAATTGAAAAGTTAATACTTTAAAGTTTAAAGAATAATAGTTTAAAAAGGCCTCAAAAGGACATGCAAGTGTCACTGGGGCTCTAATAATCCTATTCACACTGGCGTAATTCGTTAAAAATGGCAGTTACGAGTGCAGCAACAAAAAAAACTGCAAAAAAACGTCATGAAAAATAAACATCACGCCAAATATTGAATGATTTTAAAAAATAAACAATATTTTCAAAGAAATTTATTATTTCAGTCTGTATTTATAAACCTGATTACGTTAATTAAAGCAACCAGTAGAATTACTTTTTATAAAACAAAAGTTACAAACTTAGTTAAATAATGTGAAATTTAGCTAAATTACCACAATCTATTTTTCATGTTCAAACCGGTTGAGTTAAAAATTAACTGAAAAAGGGTTTGGAAACCGAAACGAATGTAAATCCTCAAACCAAGAGTCTTAGGTATTTAGAAAACCAAAAAACGATGGTTTACGTAAAAAATGTTATGGAACGTATTATTCAAAATACAAGATAAGGAAGAAACCGCCATATAAACATGACAACGCAATGAAATGATCGACTCACCATTCAGTTCTACACTCAAAACCTTTCTTTGCTCCACCAAGACTTCCAGGAACACACGAAGCACAGTTCGTACAGTTCTCTAAAGAGTGAATAGCTCCTTGTTTATGACAGTGATCTCCACATCCATCACAAAATCCACAGTTGCCATCACTAAGACACCATGAACAGTTCCTTCCTCTCTGAGTGCAAATATCTTCAACCTCGGCTTCCGAGGTAAAAAGCTGAACTGACAAGAAAAATGCCACAACCAGGCAGAGTGTATTGAACTCTTTCCAGTAAGCCATAGTTTTGAGAAGATTTTTCTTTCCTTGTGTTTTAAAAAAAGGTCGAAATCTCTCGTTTTCTCGCCATTTTGTTTGAGTTCTTGCCGTTTCTCGTGCGCTTGCGCAGTACGCAGGTCAATAATGTCAATGCTCGATTCTGATTGGCTGATCAACCATCGAAACTTTTCCCTCAGTTTTGCTCAAAACGTTTCAGAATTCTTCAAAAAAATCGTAAATTTGCAATATTTCCTTGATTTATGCGAATCTTTGCCTAACAAAGCATTACATTTGTGTTACGAAGAAGCTATCTTATTCAAGGGACCAGTTTCGTCAATAATTAATGAGAATGATACGTAACCCGTATTTTCCTTTGTAGAGACAACAGGTCAAGATGAAGCGAGCAGGGTAGGGTAACCTTAAGAATCGCCAAAAAAAGAATAATTTAAAAATACAAATGCTTTGTTTTCGATATTCTATTTTACTTAAATATCAATTATATACAATATAAATGAATAAATTTATATATATCAAGAAATTTTTGATGTCCTTGATTCGCTCAAGTGATTTCACCTACGCAAGCCGATTCAACCGGATGATCTCTCGTTGTAAAACCATCTTCGTCAATTAAGTTTCAAGTGCATATCGTTTTCTTGGGGAATAGCATCGAAGAAATTATTTTTTACGATGTATCGAATACACTGCAGAATAACATTACTCTCGTGTCGAATTTCTGGAGCCAGTAACTGTAGAAAAAAGAAAACGATATACCAGTGATGAATACGGTGGTTTCAGGGGAGAGTCCCAGGTTTTCATGACCCCTGTTGCAGGGATCACGAAGAGGGAAGAGCTGGGTGGGGCTGGGGGGTTAGTTTAGCCTTTTCACTTTTTGCTAAGGTACGTTTTTATTGGGGGAGGGGAGGGTCATCAGTAAAGAATTGGGTTTTTGTAGACAGTCTAAGTTTTTATTTTGACGGAAAGCTGTTTCTCTTTCGACCTAATGAAACCAAGTGAAACCCTCCCCACTCCACTAAAAGCTGTGCCTTCCCTAATATCCACCAACTTTCCAACAATCCCCCCTGCTCTTAGTGTTAAGCATACTAATATACTATATTTTCTAATCTTAGCCCCTACCCCACTTTTTAGGCAGCTCTGTGGTCCTTGTTTTGTCTCCTTTAAGGTAAGTACAGGTAATTTTATTCTTTCAGTATTTAGATCCTCTTTTGATCTCAGGTTGCATGAGTTCTGTATCTAGACTACTCAAAAGATGCTGGACCTACTCTTGGGTAAAACCCATGAAAATCGTTTAACCAATGTAGAATTAACTGGAGAGAATGTGAATTGTAAATATACCTTACCTTTTCTAACAGGGTAGGTTTTCTTTTTGCTTGCTTTTTCATGTTCTGTAATAATAGAAAGGAAGGGATTTAATCAATAGCATTCATTATACTTTGATCATCATCATCTACATGTATCATTACCATCATCATCCTCTCTTATTATAACCACAAGAGGTGGGGGTGCACACCTCCTGCATCTCTCCCCTAGATCCACCCCTTTACCACCATCATCTCTAACATCACAATCACCATTATCGTGCATAAGGTATTACTTTATTCAAGGGAGCTCCACCATAGGGTGTCAAAACTTTATAACAAAATTAAAAATCTTTGTAATTACCCTACGAGGTCCTTGTTCTCTGGTTCTTTTTCTTCTTCTAGGACTTGAATTCGAAGGCTTTGTCACTATATTTTCTTTTACAGTTTCCTTACCAGATGGCTTATCTTCTTTGCCATTATTGTTGTTAATTTCTGATGAAATAATTGTTGTCAAGAAAGGTGAGTTGCAACTAGAATTTATTCTGACCAGGCATTTATAGGAAAATACACAATGCTACATGATAGGTAAAAAAAATATACCCCATTAGGCTGCCTTCATAATGTATGGCAGGGGTTGGGGGGNGGGGGGGGGAGGGGCAGGTGAAAATTTGAAATGTCTAGAATAATAACTCAACACCTTTTTCCTTCCAAAATTTTTCCGATCCCCCCTCAATTTTACCTGTCCCCCTCTGCCATACATTATGAATGCAGCCTTATGTCAAGCATTTGCTTCTATTCTTAATCCATAAGCTTAGAATACCCCCTAAAACAGGGTGCTGCTGAACTGACAAGGAAATGTGTGTACCACAGACCAGCTACTAATTGGAAAAAATATAACTTGCTTGAATAAAATGCTCACCATTAGGTGTGCTTTCCTCATCACTTGACATGTCTCCATATGATGCACATAAAGACATAAGTGCAGAGGAACTGTCCTGGGTGGGGTCAGGGGTAGAATCTGGTTTTTGTACTTCTGATGTTTGTACAGCATTGATGATCTCACACTCACCTAAGAAATAACATAAGGAATATTATGCATTAATAAATGGAGAATTTACTTTATTTGCAATTATTATTAATATTGTAAGTTGAATAAAAATGATTTAAAAAAATGGACACACACATGAAAGTAAAAAAGTTAACAATAGGATTGAAGACTTACTATGTCCATTCGACTCACTAAGCAGTACTAACGACAGAGGGTCACCATCCTGCGCCTGGCATTTATTATCAGATATTTTATTTTCCGCTCTTGTTTGAAGGGTGTTTTGACCATTCTGTTCATGATTCTCATGATGCACTTTTTCATTTTCATTACAAAGTTTTCTATGGTTTCTTTGTTGATTTGGGCCTCTTTTCTGGTTGGTGTGAAATCTCTGGTTCTTTCCTCTGTATCTATTGTGATTAAAAATAATAATATTGCAAATTAATACTATTAAATACCAATGCATATACCAGGGCTTAAAGAAATGGCCAATCAGTCGCCTGTCATGATCACAGGCCAAATAAGTTTAAGCTTATACCTTATTTCTAGCTAAACTTTACTTGTCAAAATGACCGACAAGGCAAAGATTTGTTTCTGGGATGACCCCTTCACAAAATAATAGACCCAGTATACAAATTAACGATACACAAACCTATATGTCCTGTTTTGTGCCACTTGTCCGTTATCCCTTTTCTCTTTTTCCTCAGCCAGCTTCTTTTCAACATTCGCGACTGTTGGATATTTTCTACGGAAGAAACAAAGTCAATGATCTTGAAAACCCTTGTATGAAAGGTTACATTACCAGAAGGAGTCCATTTTCATGTTTTAGAGCTGGAGGAAATCAGGAAATAGGCACATAAATACATACTTCCTTCTTTCTTCTTTCCATTTTTCTATTTGCTCAGGCGTTTCCAAGACAATCCTCATTCTTCCTTCAGCATGGTTCTAAAAAATATTTGAATAATATTAACACTGATATCTGATTAGAAGCAGCTTATCCATTGCAAAACTGCCTTTCAGCTGATCAAAGTCATGCAGGGCACAGGCAACTCACGGATGGAATTAGAATTAGAGTGTTTAGCTTCATATAGCGGGAGGAAAACTAGAAAACCTGGAGAAAAAACCTTGAATCAAGGGAGACCTACTGGTATCAAAATCTGTCACTTTGTTTGAGCCCCTGAAATGCCAAACCTAAAAAAGGGAACTGGCCTTACGTTTTACATTTTCTTTTTACAAAAATAAAAAAATATATAAATGGCCATTGCATTTTACCTTTTACCAATTAAAATCTAAAAAGCCACCATTTTGTTGCCACAAAAAGGAGGGCCCTGGCCCCCCTTGGCTACCCCCTTGCTGAGTCTGAAAATCTGAACCTAAGACCCTAAAGGAGAGTGCACAAAAAGGATATCCTTAGGTTGTTCTCAATAGACATCATTTCTGCACTCACACATAATTTTTTTACCAACTGAATAGTAAGTATTCAATAGAAATGATAAGTAGCGGAGCATGGGTCGTAGTTTTGCCCTTCACTGAACTTATGCTGGTAGTAAGATTCTTGAGATGCAATCATACCACTTTATTGACACTAATTAATAGGTAGGCCTTTATGAGTTTGAGAAACAAGGTGCATTGTGGTCTAGCTTGAGTACGAACATAATTTGCTCATCATGCCTTATATGGTGTAGTTTGTACCCAACGAAGACCACAATGCATCTTGTTTCTCAAGGAAAAGACATGACTTGTTTTATATGTGTACTGGTGTGTGAATAATGCCCAAACTTTTTACCTGAATAAAATGAAGTTTAAGGACCTTTCTAGATGCCTTGAATGTACATCCTTCTTGTTCACACTAGAGAAATTATTACAAAAGTTGTGAGGTGTGTGCTTACAGCAATGTAATCATGATGTAGAGCATTAGAACTAAATAATAAATGTTAGCAAAAATAAACATATTCATATATGTACAAAATTCTGAAGATTGGCTGACATAAAATATTATTGGCTGACATCAACACAGGGAATGTGGAGATGGCCTTTACCTTTTCCCATACTATAGTCTCTCATTGTATTTCCCAATCTTAGCCCCTCCCCACTTTTTAGGGTGGTCTGTGGTCCTTGCAACATAAATTTTAACTTCATTATCAAAAAATCTTAGTTGTACTAGCACTTTTGCACTAATTGGGGACACTTTTCACTCCCATGCACAAACACTATTCTATGGACACAATACTCAACTCCTATGTTGATTTTTATGGAGGGAGGAAACTGGAGAAACTGGAAAAAACCCTTGTAGTATAGGAGAGAAAAACACACCAAACGAACTCAATTCACATGATATGGTGTATGCAGGCTCAAACTAGTGAACTGAACCTTTAGACCACAGTGTTGAACTAAGAAACGTTAGGCAGTACTTCAGCCAAAAAATTTCAGTTCAGTCCTCTTGACTGGTCCCATGTTAATTATTCCAGGGGCATGGCAAAAACCCAAGAAGGGGGGGGGGGGGGGGGGGGGGGGGGGATGGTGGCACATGTGTCCCCCCTCTTCCCTACATATACTCTAATGAATCAGTCTGATAAGGCCAGCCCGAGTCATCATCATATCTGGTGCTTGAGCAGCTGTTATTTTCAGCCCTGGATTATTGTGCTCTCAAATATCATATACATACTAAAATATCATCATCATTCTGTCATCATCATCATCACCATCAACACACTATAACCTCACCTCCACGTGTGTAGCAAGATGAGCATCAAGTATCTGTTTTGTATTAAAAACTCTTTCACAAACATCACAAGAATACTCCTGAGCTGACTTCTCTTCGTCTCTACCTCTTTTATCATTATGTTCAACCTAAGAAAGTCGAAGCGTTAGGATTAGTATATGTAATAGGACTCCATGCTGTCCAATTAAGAAAATAATTGGACAGTTACCTATATGGGATTAATGAGAAGCTGTATAATTATATTATAAACATCAAATTGAATCAGATGAATGACCAAAATAGTTACAATAATGTAGAGATAAGATGTTGCTTACGTTGTTTCTTTGCTGCTGTTGCGGCCTTTGATGAAACTGTTGGTTGTTATTAAAGGTAGAACCTCTATAAAATGGAGCCCTTGGTACAACTGCTTGATTCCATGTATGATGATGATTAAACCCTGGCATGAACGGTGCAAAAGGACCTCGTGGTGGTACTGCCACGTTCGGCATTAAAAATTCTCCGTTTATATGATTTGGAGGCGTATTCCAGTTCGGTGGAGGAAGTCGATACATCTTGCAATTTAAATCGACTAAATTCAAGTGAAATGAGTTTTATACCTTCGATTCTAGCTCAAAAAAAAAAAAACACAGTCTACAACGAACTAAATGTCAGCCATGGTGGATTTAGTTGCACCACGTGTAGCATGGAGACTAGGTATCAGTGTAAATAAAACACAGGTAACCCACAATCCAAAAATACATCATCAAGAAAAATTTGGGAGTGGTCATTAGTTGTACGTGGGGCGCGGGTTGGGGTAAATATGGAGGGTGGCAAATTATGATTTTAACTTAAACCAGCCTTGTTAATAGTCAACATAGGATATCTGCTGTATTTTATCTTTACCTTTAAACTAGGGTTACACTGCAATGGGAGGTGGAAGGAGGGTGTGCATTTTTCGCACCACTTTGGTTCTCACCTTCTGACCTGCAAATTTTATTGAACCCTGAACAAACAAACTTTTAGCTGATCAAATTCAAGGCATGGCTAGTTCAAGGTTAGGTTTTAGGTTTAAGAGGGGCAAAATCTGGTGAAAATCCCCTAAATTAAGGGAGAGACCTACCCACGACAAACTCTACTCACTTGTACATGTGATGCTGAGTTCAAGATTCAAACCTAAGACCCCAGAGGAGAGAGGTGAGTGCACTACTACTATATACAAACAGAGGAACTGTCATTTAATCTATAATTTTTCTTATCCTTACACTTCAACTTCAGAATAAATTTCATTTTAATATTTTATCTAAATTCACAAACCAGAGTGGATTGAAAATAATATCCTTTTCCTATTTACAGTTATTTTGTTTGCTTTACATCTCATTACATAGTAAATATGTTTTTGTTCCATTTCCATTCCCACAGTTTTCCACTGTTCACAATTTCAAGTATTTTTTTAGTACACTTGGAAGATTCAAGTTTTCAACATAGTTGATATCAACTTTGTCAAGTATTACCTTTCGGCAGAAATTCTTAAGGGAAAAGTCATTATCAGGAACCTTATAGACTTCGACGTCATACTTCAGCTCATTAGAAGAACTGAGATTCTGACATTTGAAAATGGCAAACTGCGAATTGCATGAAGATAACAATAAGTGGCTCCCTACGACAGCATCATTACCTGTGATATTTACACTCCCTATTATTTCTAAAGAAAAAGCATCTAAAAACAAGATGTTCTTGCTGGATGAAGGTAATTCTTTATATGTCACTAATAAACTCCCTTGTTTTAAAAATGTTACACTTTCTACTGTGTCATAAAAGAAATGGGAAGGGATCAATGATACGTCAAATAAATCTGCTAAGACATTTCCAGTGCTTACTTCAAATAACACCAAAGCCAAATGCTGATCATTATCTACATCATCATCGTCATCATCATTTCCATCATCATCATCAACTTCATCAGAACTGTTACCATCAGTCACTCGTTTGCTTGAATGATATTGTGATTTTCTGACACAAAGTGACAAATATAATAGGTCAGAGTGATATGGATTGAATGCCAGCATATAAATTTCTATCACTGAATTACTATCACGGTAACCAGCACTCAACTTAGGGGTCTTCACGCTGCACTCCTTGGTATTCAAGTTGAAGATTCTGATTTGGATTGCTTCTTCTTCCTCTGAGGGACCTGTTGCTGCCACTAATGAAAAATCTCCGTTCACAGAGGCATTGATGTAAGGATTATACTCCATCAGCCCATAGCAGCCCCCCTGTGCAATTTTTGGATCAATAGGCCATATCGCCACCAGTTTTCCAATCCTTGTGTCCAAGTCGATCATAAAAATATGACCTTCACTTGAATATGCTAGTATTTTTCCTCCATAATTACTTCCCTTGATCAAGTTTTGAAGGTATATCTTCTGGTAGTCGACGGGGCTGTTCACTGAGTCGCTGCTGTCAAATTCAACACTTCGCTCATACAGGGTAACCGTACCATCCAACTCAGTAAAGCTAAACAGAACCTGGTCAGGCTCCGAGAAAAACAAATGTCCAAAACGGCCATTTAAATTAAACTTCTCTCTGTAATCGTATTCTTCATTCTCATCGTACTTGAATTTGTACTTTTGCTGGACCATTTTCACAAACTCCAAATTTTCTTCTGGAAATTTCTTCGTTCGATCGTTGTCTTCAAACCACGTCTTTAGATCTTGCTTGTACAAAAGCTGACACTCGTAGTCGACAAGGTCCATAGTTCTAAACCATAAATATAAAGCAAATAAAAAGCTATTTTAAAATAACGAAAAAACAGCTTTAAATTTCCAGGCAAGAACAAAAACCACAGGTAATCCAAAACTCTAAACATTTCCACAGGGTGCCCAAGCAACATAATTCTTTCTTTATTTTTCCAAATTATGATGATTACATTTGATTTTAAAAGTCAAGCACGGAGCCCTGATACCCCGTAAAGTAGTTAATATGTTTGTTTTTTTAAAATTTCATTTACAGTAAGATACGAAAATGTTCAATTATTGATAACACGTTGCTGTGTTTATAAATCCCAGGCCCTTTGCCCGTCGTTTAAAAATTAAACATGGTTTCTTGCAGGAGGCTGATTTTGAAATATGCTTTATTTAAACCCTTGAGAGCTCTGTTTGCTTTATTTGTAATAGTCGTATTCCTCGTGATTATTCTTACTGGAGATCCTGATTTAGATCGTTACAAGATCAAGAAATTTCAACGGGATGAGAAGGCAGTTGACAAAGGGACGTTTGAATCAAAACTCAAGGAACTTGAACCGCAAAAAGACCAAACTGATAATACAAAACCACCTAAAACGAGCAGTTTTCTATTCATTATGATACTTACTTCACCCAAAGGGACAGAACGAAGAGATGCTATCCGAAATACGTGGCTTAAACTGGACAATTCAGGACAGTACATGGCAAAATTCATCATTGGAGGAAAGTCTCTCACAAGATCAGAACGTGGTATGCTTGAAGCAGAAAACGACAATTATGAAGATTTAGTAATCATTCCAGACATGAAAGATGGCTATCATGAACTGACAAATAAAGTCTTACAAGGTTTCAGATGGATTGATCAACATATAGATTGTTCATATGTGCTCAAGGCAGATGATGACTCTTTTGTGAGGTTAGATGCTGTACTCTCAGAACTGGAAGGACAGACTGAAGAGGCAAAGGATCCACTTTATTGGGGATTTTTTAGAGGAAATGCTAACGTCAAGCGTAGAGGTCAATGGGCAGAGAAGAAATGGGTGTTATGTGACCACTATCTACCTTACGCTAATGGTGGCGGCTATATATTGTCTAGTAAATTAATTAATTTCATTAGCAAGAACTGGGAGTTTTTCCAGTTATACAATAGTGAAGATGTCTCTGTAGGTAAGAAATGCATCAGGGCAAATTATGTTTTGTGTGTGTGTGAGTGTGGGGGGTTGCAAAGGGGGACTGTTGGAACTGAACACCAGATGGCGTGGTTCCCGAATACTGTAATACCTATTCCAAAAGTTGATGGAAAAACTGTATAGAGTTGGCATTGCAGTGCATTGTAAGACTGTTTAGGCAATTGTTAAGATTGTTGCCACATTAACATCAGGGTGGTAATGTTTATAAACATCATGTTTACCCACTAGACATTTGGAGGTAAAAGAGTTGACATTGCAAAAAATTGTGAGTTGGTCTTTCTTTTCCCAATCCTATCAGATTCTTCTTCTGCAACAGTCCTTCTTAACGGTGCCAACAGTGTCTCTGTACAGAGACACAGACACAGGGGATTGGCTGAAGTACCAGGATATGACTTTCCGGTCCCAAACACCACCATCGTTGTTTATTAATTTGATAATCATCTATAATTCATTAGTTCATTTCTTTTGCGTAGGTACATGGCTGGCACCACTAAAAGTGCATCGCCTTCATGACACACGCTTTGACACAGAGTACCGTTCACGTGGTTGTAACAATCTCCACATTGTGAGCCACAAACAGAGTATTCAGGATATGTATAGTAAATATGAGAGTTTACAAAAAACTGGCAAGCTATGTGAGGAGGAAGAGGAAATCCGTAACTCTTTTGAGTATGACTGGAAGGTCCCTCCTTCACAGTGCTGTAAACGACAGTCTGGACTTCCATAGCTTAAGATTTCTATCGATAAAGTCAATAGAAGTCAAAAGCAGCTAGAAAATGTACTGCAGGCCTAAAGTAATGGCTGGACATCAGACAAGGTCTGGCCAGAAATGGGACTCGTCCAGTCAAATCTTTGTATTACCACTCATTTTGACCAGTAACTTTTAGCCAGAAATGAGGTATGCTAGATGTAAAATTAATTTGGCCCGTGATTATGGCTAGCGACTGATCAACCTTTATTTTAAGTCCTCACTGTTGATAACATATAGAGGATGGAAAATAACAAAGTTAGAATGGGCATGACATATACATCAATGGAATTTTTTTTCCCCTTTCGCTTGTGCATATTGATTTTTCATTTCACTTGCCAGGACATCTTTTCCCATTTCAGGCCAATGTTATTCCTTTGATAATAAAATTTTTTTCCTAATCATTACTAGCACAGAAAGAAATAACACTAAAGGGAATGATAAGAATTACACTATAGATTTAAAATAGTGAAAAATAGATTATAACAATTGTCTCCATGGGCAAAATATAATATCATTCAATTATATTAAGAGAGTACAGACTCAAAAGGGACATTTCACTATTAATATTTTCGAAAACTTTCAAATATAAATTTTATTTAAGAATTTAAGAATGTTGCTCACGTATAATAATATTATCCAGTCTAATTTATAAGCAATACCTTTTACTAAGCAACATCATAACAATAATAATAAATTTTAGCACTCCAATGCGATTCTAATATATTCTAGATATTTTTCCTTTTTAAAAAACATTTAGGATATTATTTTATTCAACTGCTATAATAATTATGAACTTCAAAAGTCAAAATTAAGTTATAACAAACATTTAATATTAAGTGCCTTAATAAAGATGCACAATTTGACATATATATACACCAGGCTTTACTACCATTATCGTTAAAGTGCAACCCACAAAGTTCAAAGTCTTATTTGCCGACTAGCGTTTCAACGACCATCAATCAAAGAACTGAAATAATCTAATTCTCTAAAATCTTTAATTCAGTCCAAAATTTCCCTCAAAATATTGCTTTTCTATTGTAGTTCTTTGATAGCCTGTGTGCGTCACATCTGGAACTTTCTTCGTAAATAGCACAGACTTCAAAAGAAAAGGCCAGGTGGCAGGCTATTCTTTGATTGACAGTCATTAAAATGCCAGTCAGCAAACAACGCATTGAACTTTGTGGGTCCCACTTCAACGATAATGGTAGTAAATTTTATAGCTATCAATACCATCAATACCGTATCTTGGAATTAATAATAATAATAATTTCACTATGATATGTCCTAATAAGATATTTCTTTCTTAAAACATTGAGATTATTCTTATTCACCTGTAGTATGTATAAAATGACAATACTATCTACTATCTTGAATAATAAATTTCACTATTAATATAATATATCCTAATAAGTTATCTCTTCCCTCAAACAAATTAATATTTTTTACCTGTAGTACAATTGATGTGACAATACCGGGCGTATTTGATTTTTTTCATAAACATGTAAAAAATATATGAATAAATTAACTTTCTCTGAGATTATGTATTCTAAAGATATAAGAATTTTATTTGTTCTTTTTTTTCAATAAGCTGACATGTAGATAAGCTGTGAAAGACGTAATATTTACAGGCTAGGGTGATGAAAGGCCTGGGGGGGGTTCCCTGGGGGCATATAAATCACCTTTCAAATGGTGAAATCATGCCTCAGGAAATGGCCATTTCAAGTTTTGAGAAAATAAAAACAGTCAAAATTATGAAAAATAATCCTATACCACCCTACTTATAGAAGTAGAAATAAATGCTTCAGTTCTTCTTGTGACTAGAACACTAAATTAGATACCATATGCCCAACAAGGCTTATTGAAACAACTATTTTTTTTCTTTAATAAAAATCTTAATAAGAATATCTCTGAATATTTTTCTGTTAGGTGATTATCAACACGTTGAGCTCAGACTGGGATCTGCCTTAGTTGCCATGACAACCATGAGTTTCTCATTGGGTACCAGGCCACTTGGCTGCACAACCTAAGTATTTCAAACACAATGAACAATTAAGTGAATTATTTATTTATTGTTTGCAATTTATATGGTGGGGTAGAGGGGGAGGGGCAAGATAAATGGATCTCCACCACCCCAACCCACTGGGCTGCTATTCAGGCTACTTTCACATAGCGAGTATGAGCATGGACACCCGGGGGAAGGGGGGGGTACTCTTGCCCGCTTAGGGTAGGGATGACATTCTTTTTCAGAAAAAAATCACAGTCATTCTCTTTCGGTTTCTTCGCTGATGGCCAAAACATCACACTTCTTACCTCTAAAAGATCTGTAGGTGTCATGTTACTTAAATTGACGAACTGTGAGATTAATTGCTTTGCCATCTCATCCATACTATTGTCTGCATGAAAAGACATTGCATTTTTAAGCACTTTGTAATCAGACTATTGTGAAAAGATTGAATTGTGGCTAGCTAGCTGTTTGAACAAGTAATCATATCATAAATGTGTATTTCCAGAAAATATCCATATACCCCCAACACAGTCGGAGGGAATTGTAAAAGGAACCCCATACCCCCAGGACTTCCAATTATGTTCCATACAAACTCTGTAATTTTGTTCTTTCTCTGACCCCCTCCCCTCCAGAATTTCAAATTTCCTACATGGGTGGGGTATGGATATTTTCAGGAACTGTATTTGTATCTATTTATTGTATCAATAATATCTATTGTCACATGATAACTGCCCATAATGTTTAAACTCACCCATTTTACTACTCCATATTTTAGACCATTCCACAATCGCTTTAAATTTGGAAACTTCATTCACCTATGAAAAAGTGAATAAATTATTACCAAAATTTTAGTTCCAGAAGCATTAGCCCCCCTCCCCTCGCCCAATGGAAAAAAGATTGAAGGACCCCACTTTCCCCACGTCCCCTCCAATGGAAAGAATGCTTATCTCTTCCCATTACCTGCAGGAAAAGTTACAGACTATGCCCACCCCCCTTCCCCTTAGACCCATACCCTCCCATAGGGGGGAGGAGTGGACTAGACCCATATGTATCCCCAAGAAAGGTTCTAGAAGTCCCAAAGTTAAAATACAGAGTGCATCAACAACTGTCCTACCTTGTTTAGTTTTGAGAGTACTACGTTAAAGCTCTTGTCTGATAAAAGACTAACTGCACTAATGTCTAATTCCTTGATTTCTACCTCTGTTAAGAACACAGCAATCTAGAAAGAAGGAAAAATAATTTTTTTTAAATGGAGAATTTGTAAAATGAGTGGCTGGCAAAAAGATTCCCCTGTGCATAGCAGCCCTTGGGAAAGGATGCAAGCAGAAAAGGCTGTTGTGAGAAAAGAGATAAATAAAGGTGCGAACCCATTCTACTATTATGCAAGTCTAAAGTATAAGTATATAAAATAAGGAAGTAAATCTTTTGTATTTTGTTATTATTTTGTTTGTACCTTGTCTCTTATCATTTGTTGCACCTCAGGGTAACTTGTGTACTGATCTATTGACTGCAGCATTGTGTAAAACTATAAACAGAATTGAAAACAAAATTAATGATGTTGATATCTAGATTATCTATGTTACAGTTCAATGCGTTTCCCTGTTGAAATGTGTATTGTAACACACAACGTTTTTAATGGCACATGCCTATGGAACCAAAACCTGCTTCATCATGATGACAATTCTGCATAATATGTGCTATTGATTTCTGTATGACCCCTTGAGCTTGGTTCACAATGACACAACATGGTTGTTACATGATAAAAGGGGTCTTCTTGATGTAGCAAGCTTTATTGTATTCTGAGTAGGGTTTTTGTGTTAGCTCCAAATTCATTACCCTTGGCAATTGTTTTGTCTTCATGGTTCAGGTGCATGTCTTGGAATACCAAGAAAGAGCAGATAAAAATTCAAGCAAGTTCAACTTGATTCCTTACCATTGATGCATCAAGACATTCCTCGATACTGTCTACACAGACTTGCTTTACTTCAGGTATTTCATAGCACTGAGCAGCACACAACAGTCCAGGAAGGATCCTTGATGTAATATGGCAAGATCCAGTGTGAAGATATCTTAACAATGCTTCAAATACATCTGGCTCAAACTCGTCAATGATGTACTGATGTGGTGTAAAATAAGATTGTCAGAAAATATTCTAAAACTGGGGAAAGTGATACAACCTAGCTAATCTAATGGAAATGTCCCCAAATAGGGTGCTTCATATTGACTAGAATTAATTACTGGAAGGCTACTACCATATATTTCTTTATTTTTCCTATGGGATGATGACGAGTCCATGCAGAGTTAGGATAAAATTTTTCTTAACACTTTCAAACAATTTTATTGATATCCTACGTACAACCACTGGGCTGATCAAAATATGCAAACAACATACAAACAAAGAAACACCCACCTCCTGTTGAGCATTGTTTTCTTGTTTTCCGTTTTTCTGGTTCCGCGGTTCCAGATCAGAAAATGCAGCAAGGACAACATCATCTTCACCTGTACTTGACGAGCGGTGCTTGTTTAAATTGAATTTTTTACTTCTTGAGCTTCCAGGCAGTTTAGAACTGGTGATGTTCCATGACGAGACAACATTGCGAGGAGAGGTTGGTGATGTGGTGCCATTTGAGCTTATCTTTTTCTGACAGTCATCAGAAGCTTGATCCTCAACTAGGAGCTTACGAAAGACACTGAAGACATTCAACAAACATTGAGTAAAATGATGCATAAATAAATGAGATTACATCAAAACAATACAAAAGAAAAAAAGCTTTGTTCAGCTAGAAAAAAGGCGATAGTAATCGAGCGAAAGTGTGTCAAAAAACAAGTTCTTAGTTAGTTTCACCTGCTTCGTGCTGCCATTATTGCTTTGACTCCAAGAAATGCCTTTTTCTCGGATTTTCCTGTGAAGGGTTAACAATAAAATAACATTCTAAGGATTTTAAATGCAAAGAGTGAACCCTTATTGGAAATGCGCAAAGTAAGATGACCTTTGATCATAGTTCATTAGCTAGTGTGCTGCAAGCCAAGTGAGTCCAATCTTCACTTTGTTCATCTGAAGATGCGATGCCAGGGTCATGTATATACCAGTTGTACAAAATCTACCAAGAAATGCGAGTTGTCTTGCTTACCAACTATGAAGCGAACATCAGCCACTTGGCTTTTTTCTCCTAAGAGTGAGCTGAAGTCCTTGACCATCTGATCTGTTGATTCAAACGTCTCTTGCAAGCTCTCTTGACAAGAAACAGAAAACCTGCAAATTATATGTATTATATATTACAATCCTTTTTTAAATAAGGTGTTGATCTCACACTCATCAGTGTGACAGATAAAAAAACTTGTTATCGCCATATACTAATTTATAATCACCACCGCAAGTACAAAAGTGGTGCAGCTCAAAGGGGTTGAACTGAAAGCATGTGAGGGTGCCTCTGGCAACCACAATACAATCCATGTAGGACCCTAGCACAGCTCTAACCAGTTTGAAATATTTAGGGTTGATTTAAGATAGACAAGTGAAATACTGTTAAACAAAATCTACCAACGTCACGGTGAGCACTAACACAATTATCATTAACAACAACAATAGCATTAACAATAACAATAGCATTAACAATAACAATAGCATTAACAATAACAATAGCATTAACAACAACAATAGCATTAACAATAACAATGACAGCGGTAGCCAACAGCCTAAACAATTCATTATTAATTTGACATTTTATTTACACTCACCTGCTACTTGACTGGCTTCGCCGTCCATGATCCCTGTACAACAGATTCAAAAAAAATACTGAATGATGGTGCCTTCAAAAATGAGTACCATGACAAAAGATGTATCTTTTGTGCAGACTTGAAGACGAGGTACTCGTGAAAAACAATTACATCAGAAAAAAGCAATACAGCCTAAGATACGGTTATAGTATGGGACTGATGGTATCCTTTAAACCAATCACAGCGCACAAGATTACTATATATTAATCCAATCAAAATGCGCAAACTCTTGGCATCCTAATGTTCACCATGCGACACATCTATGCCATAAGTATTTCAAAGAAATACAAAATCTATGGAAAGTCCATCAACTTTTCCAAAGCGCATCACTGTAACACGAAAAAATAACATTTTAGTAACATTAAGGTAATGGTATTGAAAATCGCTTTACCTGAACGGAAACGGGTCCCGTTTTTCTCTTGTGTCTACAGGACTCTTCTCGATCGACTCCAATAAGTCTTCCATCAGTTGATTCCGAGTTCGTTGCTGGAAGAAAAAACGACAGGTATCCTTGACTTCACGGACAAAACTGGATGCTTGAAGAAAGCATATCTTGATGAGTACTTACATGCAATTTAGCGAAATTGGGCGCTTTGTGACAAGCAACTTCTCCGTTGATAACTTTGTTCAATAACCATTTTTTCAGCTCTGGACCCTTGTATGAAAAGATAGCACGAGTTCAGTGCTTACTAAAGGTGAAATAACATTTGCGTGCGCATGAATTGGGAGGGCTGAAATGGGCGTGTGACTTAATTATTCATAACTTTAAAAAATTTCCATTTTTCAACTCATGAAAAGAAAGTATGACCAGTCTGTGCTTCTAATCCTTGATAGAAAATTAGTGTGCAGAAAAGCGTTTGCACGTGAATGATTTGGAAGCGTTGAGAAAAATAACTTTATTTTTTAAATATTTATTTTCATTTCTGCATGGACCCTCGAATGGAAAGAAGATATTAGTTCAATGTTTTCTAATGCAGATAGATTAGTAGCAGGCAGACAAAATGATGCGCGCCAATGGGACCTTACTTTTTTAAATGTACTTTTCTCTGCAAGGGAAGGACCATAAAAAGGAACTTGTTTTCTTGACACTACTGATACCTAAGGGAAAAAATAGAAAAAAATTTAAAAACCTTATAAAATAACTGTTATAAGTAACTGTTATAAGTTGGGAGCACGTTCTTTATGAGAGCACACAGCATGCGTGCGCGCTTTCAGTTGCATCATTCCTATTCAAAATAACAGTCATTATAATTTGTATTTTATAAAAGAAATAAGAAAATTGCTTGCTGTGCTGTGTGCAATTGGGGATTGGCAGAACGCTCTAGAATTGTTGAGAAGCATTCTGCTAAGCGTCGTGCTTCTCCTAACACTTCTCTCGTGTTCTTCCATCCCCGCATGCTTTATAACTGCACACAGCACGCAAGCGCTATTTCTATTTCTTATATAGATCATTTTCTCAAGGTTGCATGCGCATACAATCATCCTGACAGGCCACAGAAATAAAAAAAGCGCAAATTCAGTAAAATTGAGAAGCTAGTTTTATATTTAAAGAGGAGAATAATCGATCTTATTACTTCTTATCGAAAAATCTAATAAAAATGTATGATAACTCTCCTTATAAAGCTCCTGTTCTGGTATCGTAGCCCGTCATAAGTTTCTTAAATTTGGATGAGCGTGCAATCTTGAGGAAAAGATATATTGAGTAAAAGTTGTGTGAAACTGTTACTGAGAAGAAAACAGTTATTTCCGTTGCAACGCAAAAGCGGGAACGGAAATATCTTTCAATGTATCTTCCACAGCCCAAAATGTAATTTTGATTGACGGAATTTGATTGCAAACATGAAAATGTATTATACTACAGTAAAATGAAAAGATATTTTAAGTCTTTGCATAAGAGTGGACCAGATGGCTAACCATCCTTTTCTCGTGTTTGAGTTAGAAATCAAAGGGTTAAGTTTTGTGAAGAGAAGGAAAACGAAGAGCCCGAAGAAAACCTAGGCTTCTAGAAATCTCCGGAGACAACCGCTGAAACATCTAAACTCAAACATGACAGCTTCGAGGGTTTAAAGTAGGAAACGATCAATCTGTAGCCGTCCTTTAGCCGCACCGTATCTTACCGGTGTAGCTGTAACTACGCATTATGTGATGATTGGAATAATTAATGAAAGACAATGGAAAGCCATTTCAATGTTACGGCAAGTTGTGCCGTGTACGCGCTGTAAGTCAGTGCCGTATGTTTCCCACTCATATGATAACTATTCTTAAGAAAAGCCATTTCAATGTTACGGCAAGTTGTGCCGTGTACGCGCTGTAGGTCAGTGCCGTATGTTTCCCACTCATACGATAACCATTCTTAAGAAAAGCCATTTCAATGTTACGGCAAGTTGTGCCGTGTACGCTGAATGTTACGGCATGCCGTCCGTGTACGTACTGCAAGTCAGCACCGAATGTTTCCCACTCATACGATAACCATTCTTAAGAAAAGCCACTTTCAATGTTGAGGCACGCCGTACCTCGTACGTGCTGTTAGTTAGTACCGAATGTTCCCCACTCATACGAAAACCGCTATATATATAAAATGTGATTAGAATCAAGCGGCGTTCTATTGTCATCATCAAAAAAGACGTAGCTAGAGTCCTCTATTTGACTGATTACCGTATATTTATTTGGATTGGTTGACACGTCAACTTGGACCACGACGAACGTGTGTAAGAAGTTTGATTTGATGCATTCTGGGTCGAACTGTGTGTGAGCAGCTTCTAAGAACACGACACACGCTATATCATTACCAATGTGTCTCTTTCTCTGTAACTAGAAGAAATAAAAAAACAGGAATGAATGGGTACATGGGTATGACTGTATTAAGCAACCATCCTCGGGACCTTGCCTGGTGCCTACTCAATAGAAGCTAATTTTACCTAAATATAACGGAAGAAAGTTCGACACTCAATCAGCTGTATGCCCGTTAAATAAAGGTGTCCACAGATATTAAGAAAGATTTGCGTTTTCGCCACGAGTGCGTGTCCAGAAAATACGGGGTTTCTGCAAGTGTTCGTACTTATCCAGCGACTTCCAGCGCACACGTATTTACGCCAGAAAGAGAATAAACCAGCTGACTAGATTCCCCAGTAATATGAAGCATCTGAACTCCGGCACATCTGTGTAGCTTTAATTAGCTTTAAATATCCGTAAAGAGGAGCAGTGATAGTAAGAGGGGGTAAAGGGCGCACCTTCGAGCGCATTAAACATGAGCCCCTGCCTCAGAAGATTTGGGCAGCCACTCTCCACGTTATCGAAGTAAAACAAACTACTTTTAAATTTACTTTTTTTAGTGCGCATCACTCAGCATTTAAGCCTTTTCCTTTTTTTTTTTTCTTTGCATAATGCAGATTTGTGCTTTAAGGAAAGTTATGACTAGACAAAAATGGTAACACTAGATTACTGGGTTGACTTTCATAGCTAAAGGTAAGAGTATGCGTGATTTATTTCTATCGGTTTCTTTAGTCGAGAACGAGAGCTAATAGCGCGCACCAAGAAACCATATGGAATCTTGCGCGTATTTATATTTGTCTTCCTTTTTTACCACGAAAAAAAAAGCACAAAAAGAAACGCGAGCCATTCAAGTTCAGGGGGCGAGGAACACGTATAGCTAAACCACAGGAATCCCATTTAATATGAAATCTCAAATGGACACTACTTACTTTCTGGGTGTCTTTCTTCTCGAATGGTAGCAGTGTGGACACATGGAACATAACCTGTTTGTTACCGTTCTTTGCGTGCACAGAGTGGGTGCCTGTTAGGTCATTACTTATGTCCAGGCCACCACGGTACTCGCTAAAACCCTTTAATCTTACTCGTTCACCAAGTAAGTCCAGGAAGTCATCAAATGCTTGGCTGTGCTCTTGATTATTGAAGATTTGTTCTTCTGTTGTTTGGCCTTCTTTCACATAAAGCAGGCCAACTTTGTATTCATCTTTGAGAAATACCTATGAAGTTATTGACAATTCAATTTTTATTCATGGATATACACTTATATTTCATTACGAATTGCCTGTCCTGTCATCTACCAATAATCCATTTATTTATCCATCCACCCATATCCAGCCCTCCATCCCCCATCTACCCTGCCATTCATTTATCCTTCCAGTTCTCCCTACCCATCCATCCATCCCAACCATCCATCCTACCCATCCATCCACCCATCTACCCTCCAAGCCATCCATCCATCTGCCCTCCCATCCATCCTCCCTCCTCATTTCCATCCATCTCACCTACCATCCATCCCTCTCTCCTTACTTTCCCATCCATCCATCCATCC